CACCGATGACAGTTAAACTCCACCTTTACCCACCTCTACCCACCTTTTCCGGCTCACTGAGACTTCTCCAGCCCGAATTATGAGAACTTGTAGAAAATGCTGTACACTTCAGAGCGCGTTCCGCCCATTGTGACCGGACCTCCTCTCACGTCATGTCTGCTGGAAATACCTTAGACATTCCCTACAACAACTTGTTTTCTGCTCTCCAGGCTTTCCTCCCAATCGAGTTATGAAATTTTTCATTAGGCACTGCTTTTTTGGAGAACGCCCCGCCCACCGGGAATGAGTCTCCCTAATTCGATGTGACTTACCAGTGCACATCTTCACCCACTTTTTGGCTGTTTCCAGGTTGTTTTGTCAGATTGAAATCTTGGTCGTCACTACAGTTCATTTTGATGCGCGCCACGCCCACGCCGCGGAGCTCCGCTTAGCTGACGTGTGTTTTGTACTTCGTGAGGCCTTCCCCACCCGTCCCACACTTGACCCGATCTCTCCAGGCGGATCCTCAGGAGCTAGAGAATTTCGTGACAGATATACAGAACGAAAGGCAGAACGACAGACGACAAACGACAGACGAAGCGCTTTATAGTAAGGATGGGGTGACCCCCGACCAAACTCAGGCGTGAACTGACACTTCGACAATTCCTAGGCCTCTTTTGATGGGAGTTTCAATTCTGGTTCTGCTTTTGTAATAACCAACCTACAAGAATGATAATTTCAAAATTTGATCGGGTACAAACAAAATGCAGCGGAGAAACATGTAGTATGATTTCGCGGCATTCAGAAAAAAATGAAGATAAAAAATTGCTGCTTTCTCAAAATGGAATTCCCTGCTGTCAGGAAAGCACTCTCACAAATTCTCCCTAGAGCCTTCTTTCAAAACGTCCTTAGATGCAAGTTCTTGGGAAATTTGTAGGTGAAAGTATGATTATGCGGTGCAGTATGTACACTCGAGTCAAAAAGCATATCACTTGTGAGTGATTCAATAGGAAAAACTATATAGTAAAAGGATGACATACCTGCCATGCTGGTGTGAACGTTCCGATCATTAAAAAAATGTCGGCGATCAAAGCGAGAAGACAAGATCCAAGCTGACATTTGTCGAGCCTCGAAAAGAAATCCATTGGCCTCATTGTGTGGTTTTAGACCAGCAAAATGCGCTGTAAAAAGAAAAAATTCTATAAATTCTCTAAACGTAGTGGAATGAGTATATATTGAAAGGAAAAATGCACTTGCATACTTATAAGAACTGAGCAGCTCAACTGGATTGTTATTCGGTGCTCTTCTAGCTATGAGTATGAACTACTCAGAAGAGATGTCGAATGTGGCTGACCATTCAGATCCTGGAAACGGTTCTCCCCTAACGTTGTCTACGTCACAATAATCGGGATTATGTTGCGAAAGTACCAAGGAAAGACTGACGGCGCTGAAGAGTAATTATGGAGAAGTAGTCGAAAATAATGGAGTCAACTGAACATGGTTTGAACGTGGAACTAGGAATGAAGAAAGGTCAAGCTACAGGAATTGACAAAGCAAAGACCTTGAATGAAGGACATGAGTTATGAGAAAGTAGGAAGAGCTTGAAGATACGAAGAAAACTTTAGCGAACCATCAGCAGTGAAACATAGCATTTAATTCTCTACTAAGGACGGAATAATGGATGCGCTTCTGTCAAATCAATGAGTCGTGTTTTTCCTATTAGAATAAAATAGAAATAAAAGTGATCATTCTATACTTAGGTGTTGGAAAAAAAAGAAAGAGGCTCAAGAAAAGAGTGCATTTCTCTTCCGATCCCATCAAATCCAAGGCCGATGTAGTTCGAGAACCTGAAGGCAGAAGTGGTGTAGCGGCACGTGGCGCCGCTTACCACGCGCACGGTCAAGCCACACATCGGATCCCCTGGCCAACAGGCTGTTCATCCCTCCGCGGTCGAGTAATTGATACCACACTTGCCTGGGACAACAAAAACACAGGGTTGTACATCGGCTAACCCCGAACGTAATCGTGAGGGCCAGATCGCACTCAAACGCAACAGCAATTTCAACTGGAAAGATTGTATGACGCATCCCAGAAGATTGATCAAGACTTCATCACTCTGTTAATCATAAGAATACACTGGAACGTCTTCAAAATAATTACTCATGATGTATGTGTAATTGTAGCGGTTGCTTTTCTAAGTGAGACACTCCTTTGAGGCCACACTCCATCATCAGCTGGTGTGGGTTTTGCGCTCGAAGGTGAAGGTGACTTACTTTCACCTTCGAGCGCTAGTGAGGTAGAACAGAGGTGCGAAGTGCATTCCCATGAAGAACAAAGGGGAAAATCGCCAACGACGCCGAGCATTCCGTGGATGGTTGAATTTACGATGCATGCGAGAGAACAGATGGAGGCATAATGGGCTAGGAGTGGTCATAGCGTTCGACAGTGTGATTGTTCACAGTCTGTAGCGCCCTTGTCGTGCACTTTTGATCCGCGAGAACGGTACATCGTGGAATTTTGTGGGAGCTCATTCTCAATACCTGTTAAAGGTATCGATCTCCCTGAAATTATTGTATACCGTGGGTTGACGTTTCTGTAGAAAATCCAAACGATGAAGATTTGAGGTGAAAAAATGCTGTACAAGAGGAATGACGATATGATCCAAGAGCAACGAAAATGACTTTCAAAGGCACACTATACGATCAAGTTGATGTGATAGCTTCGCTCGAATATGGAATAGTGATGCGAAAGACAGCCAGTTGAAAAAACGAAGAGAATCCGCCAAGAATCCTAGGAGGAGGGATCCTTATTTTGCAAAGATTTTGGGGGAAAGCAGCGAGAGGTAAGGGGCACTGAGGGAGAAAAGACCCTGAGACGAGAGAGTTCAGCAGATTAGCGATACGATGCACGAGATACAGCGGTGGTTGCTGAGAGAGCCCGAGGAGCCAGTAGTTGTGAATCCAAGTCCTTAGCGTCTCAGCCATGGACTTTTGAGCAACAAAGGCGGAACCATTCATTTCGCGCAGCTAGAAAAGAGCTAGGGATGTATCTTTTGCATTATATTGGGCATCATGTGTTCCCAGCGAGGAATGTTTAATGACATTTAAAAGTCAATGCGAATAATGCCGGGTAACGCTGTGTGAATCGTTTTCTTAACTGCAACTGGCTCCGCAATTTCTCCGACCTGAAGGCGTGACCGCGGCTGACGCGGACAACTCGGTAGCACTCCCGCGCTCTTTGAATGCATTCTCCACGCAGCCGCTTGCAACAGCAGGAGCGCTACTCTCTTCCACGCTTGCCGCGGCCACGCCTTCAGGTGTGAAAAACGTTACGAAGCCCAACTTTCTGAAAGCGTCATCAAACAGTGTAATCAAAATATTAAGAAGCACAACTCATTGGCAAATTAGTTTTAGAAGTATTATTTATCCATTCACACGTAATGAAACAAGAACATCGAATAGCTGTCTTGCATTTATGACAAAATGTCACATTCACGACTAAATGAGCACCTCAAGAAAACCGAAAAGGACAGGCTGTAGATAATGGCGCGGGTGGGTAACGCAACAGAGCGCAACTTTTCCCTCCCCTACCTCTACATGTTCCTACAGGCACTTATGCATTTCACTGGCACAGAGAATAAGACAAGACGAATAGTGAGGCCTCCAGAGATGATCAAATGGAACTAGTCATTTGCCTCCTTCGTTCTTGGAAGCACGCAGCATGATCATAGATGAGGCGTTTCACAAGACTTTAAATGGCCTTTCTAAGCTATCCTTCATATGCGCCGGCGCGGACACGGCTAGTATGGTCAGTGCGGACAGCGCAAAGAGCGCCAACACACACGCCGGCACATGGCGCGTTGTTGGCGCACATTCGGTGCTTTCCAATCGGTCAACATCAATTCAAACATTCCGTATATTTTTTAGTGTTCGACGTGCCGTGTTAGCTGACAACATGCGGCGTAACGTGTTTTTTTCTTATTTTTTTCATATGATTATTTTTGGGCGCTGATGGACTCACCTGGAGCTTACTTCCACTTTCACACCCAACTGCGCGACGCTAAGCGTCCTGGGATTACTGAAAAGTAATAATTCAAACGAAAAAGAGGAAGTTTTGCGCGAAAAAAACGCATTACAGAACATTAAGGAATATACAGAATGTGAACTGAAGGGCACCGACTGTGCGCCAAGTACGCGTCCAGCGTCATTGCGGAGTGGCGCGCTTCGCATTCTCCACGAGCGCTACTGCGCAAAGTGTAAAAGTGCTTGAAGAAAACGGATCGCAGAGCGAAGAAGGCTTTGAACAGGTTCCCTGCAAAATTCCGTGTACCCGACAGAAGGCCCGTCGCCGTCAAGAAGGCAGACTCAGTGGACGAGTCGCTGCGCACACTGCAGTGATTTCACGTCAGTTCAATAGAATGCACCGCTGCACGTCCCACACCGCACACCACGCGCTGCGACTCGTCCGTTAAATCTGCCTTCTAACCGCGCGACGGGCCTCTTGTCAGGTACCCTAAAATCTCATGGGCGAAATCATATGTAAAATAAAGATGAGGCCTATTCCAATAAGGGGACTTTCAGTGCAGAGAATACGGACTTTCAAACCCCAACAACAACTTCTTATATGAATATTTGAAAAGAGCAACACTCACCCAGTTTCTCAAATGCACAAACTTACTCGATCACCCGGAGCTTCTCCCCTGCCTGCAAAAGTTGGGACTAGTACAGACGGCACAAACTTTTGCACCAAAATGCCCCTTATAATGGAATAGACCCTAAAAATAAAGTGCAAATCCGTAATAAGGAGGAAAGAAAGTCAAGGGAAAGCTGCAAGTGAGACATTCACACAAATTGGTTTTCAGAACCCCGATGAACGATACGAATGGTGATGAGGTATGTCTGGAAGCTTCTTCATCGCGAAGCAGTCCTGTTGAGAAAACTGAGGCATGTCATAAATCAGGTGAGGTTGCTGAAATGAGTTCGATATGCTGTGAATACTGATATCCAGATTTAACTGACCGCCTCTCGCCCTTGATCAACATTGCCATAGCTCAACCCAGATTCACGAATTACGTAAATTGTATAGAAGACGGAGAAACACAGTGAAATCAAGTAAAACACAACTCCAGTAACAGCGATGTAGAATGAGTATCCATGATGCTTCTGAAAGAAAGGTATGCAAGCTTCACTGAATGTTTGTGTCTGCAAAAAAGTCCCTAGCAGTAGTGACATCAAAAATAATGCAGATTATTGCTAAGACGAAGGCGGAGGTGGTGTAGTGGTAAGTAGCACGCTTACCACGCTTGCGGTCCTGGGATCGAGTCCTGGGTCGTGCTGCGCCCGGCCCAACCAAGCCTTCCATCCCTCTGGGGTCGGCTAATTGGTACCATACTTGTTTAGGAGGATAAAAAACAATGACTTGCACATCGGCTGGCCCCCACAAGTCATTGTATAGGCCAAATCGCATACAAACGCCACTACGAATGTACAAATGGAAGTAGAGTGCAGGCCGCATCCCAAAATGAGATTGATCAACGGCAAAAGCTTTTAAGCTTTCGGTAAGGCGGCTCCTAGAATCAATTCGGTGCACCATTCATCACCCCAGGTGGATTGTCCAATAATTAATAGCCCTCCGACACCGTGGTCCATATGTGAGCCACCTTTTGCACATGGTGAGGGACACCGTGTTTCATATGTGAATCACACCCATGTTATTCATTTATCGCGCATGCGCGATAAATGAATCGCGATCGCGGTTTATCCGCATCCTTAGGCTGATATTCCTGCACCAAACCCCTCTATTGCTGTCCTCTGCTGCTGCTCTTTTGCTTGGGGTGCATGCGTATACCTGAATGTTGTTGCATCTGCACCCCCCTCCCCCCAACAGGACAGGCTACCTCGGACTGCTGTCAGCATATTGTGAGAAACGGGGAGTTGGAATTGTTGGTCCACTTGGAATGTTCAGTCAAGCGTACCTCGTATATTCCGCTAACAGAGACCTGGTAGAAACGATACTCGACCATTTGCGAATAGACGGCAAAAGCGACTGCACCAGCTCCACATAGTACAGCTAAAAAAGTGACTGGCGGCTTGGCTCACTATACAACATACATATATAATGTAGGGTGCCGCAAAAAAATGCCAGCAACGAGGGAACACCGAAAAATCAGCTTTTTCAAGATGTAACACTTAAGCGAGAAAAATACCCTGAATCAACTGAGTTTACAACTTAAAATTGAGCATAAAGGCTACAGAAGAAACCATTATAGTTGCAGGACAAATTTGGAAGAAATCTCGGGTGTCCATAACTCTAACCTCAATTTGAACCCAAACGAAGGCTACTATTTTGAACTGTCCCTTCCCTCTAGGTGAACAAGGCATGATCGGGTCACCACAGCCTCTTCCCAAGGGTAGAAATTTGCATTTGAAAAATTTTTTCATTTCAAGGCTTAGCTCTAATTCCGATCACCTTCAAGTGGGGGTCATAATCATATCTCTTGATATTGGCCTGCTAAAAGCTAAGTAGACAGGAATTGTTAGGTGTCGAAAGGGGGATTGAATTGACAGGATTAGCGGAATCCTTTGCTTTGATGCGTGGAATCCACATCTCATTGTTCCAGCTCTATGGAATCGAATACAATGGCACACTTTCGATGCATGATTCCGCAGTCAAAGGCAGATGGTCTGATAAATTGGTCGGCGTTGAAAATGAAGTGGCTGGCAGCTGGCGAGAGGTGAAGGGAAGTCACTAGAAACAGCCTAAACTCCACGAATCAGGACCTTCCTGTACAATGTTTTCCACACTCAATAACCCCATCGGACGGAGCGGTAGGTGGCGTCATCAGTGTGTGCGGCTAGCTCTGCTTTTCACACTCTAACTACGGACAGCAACCCTACCAATCATGAGCCGCGTCACTTGAAGGCAGGGCTCTCCACAAAAGGAACGGTCACGGGGGCCAAGGATTTTTCAAGCTGCTTCCCGCCCTTCCCGCGCATATGACACGTTTCGGTTCTTTGAGATGAGCTTAGCCCCTCTTCATAGTAGAAAAGCTTCATATTTACTATCCAATTTGTCGTATCCCTGCTTCAACATCGTTTATGGGGATCATTCATGGCAATTTTAAGATGGCTGGAGAAAATCTTATAAATAATTGAAAAAAATAGCATCTTTGCGACACCCTATAGAAGGGACCATGACAAACTTTAGGTACCGGCAAGAGCAATGAACGCCGTGGATAGAATGCACGCCACTCGTTGAACCAGCGAACTCCGAGAGAAGCAGTAAAGCGTGAGAAACAAGAGGCAGCATAGCTGTCCGACCAGAAAGATGTGCAGAAGAGTTCGCTGCCATGCTGAAATTACAGTAGACTGTAAGTGGAATTTTCGAAGCAGAGAGTATTCATAAAATATTTATGAACACTAGTAATTTAGGAATTAAAAGATTTCACTGATCGTATCGATTGGTTTTATTAGGAGATTTTTCGGTGAAACAGGTAACGCGAATTCGATGTATTTGTATATTCTGATGTATTTTGTTTGAGTGTTCAAGTGGGTTGAGAGAAAGGCCAACCGTCCGCTGGGAGAGCCCCACGAAGAGGTCGTATTCTGCAAAGGGTGTAGTTTGCAGAGAACGGGTCGTATTCCTGAAGAGACCCCTCCAGCGATCGGAGGTGTCCCATAGTGTTGTCTCTCCTAGCCCTTCAAAATTCCTCCAAAGCTCCAAAAAGGCCTCAAGTAGGGAATATATTGTATCTGTTGCAATTGCAAATTTCCAAATTTCAAAATGGCTCATTTCACCGCATTTTTTCATGGTTCTATTCGTGACAACATCACGTCCTCAAAGTTGAATGAATTGATCGACTTGGAAAGAAGGGGGGTGCCCATGGGTAATCGGATATTGCATACCCAAATATCATGGCTGGCTGAAGACGTTTGTCGCACGCATCAATGCCAGAGATCTTTCAATATTAGGTCAATAAATTTCATTAATGCTTGTACGCGTAGAAAGCTAAGGCGCGAAAACCACGTTGTTTCTTCATGGAAACATCATACCCTATTCTGCTTTGCTACCGCTACCGTAAAGGGTATCAAGAGGCAGATGTCTGCAGCGCACGGCACCTGTTTTCGCGTCAAATTAATGACTCGTGGAGTTCAGTGGGTCAACCACCCTGACAAACAAATTTCTAATCGGCTCGTTCTGCTGAAATAACTTGAAAAAAGGGAGTGGCTGGCTATGGCAAAATGTGTCGTTAGTAAATATTTTTGAGAAACTGGTGTGCCATTATGTTTCTAAAGGGCACCTGTACTAAAATTGAAGCCATCTGTGATGAGGATCCCAGAACTGTCTATAAACAAAATTTCAGCGAAACTGTTCTTTGGCCTCAAAGATTGTAGAGCCTAACGAACCTGAACCGAGTGGTCATGAGTTCATGTCACAAATGATAAGAATTCTTGAATTCGACTCCCCGAATTCTACCGCCTTTCACTCTCAGATTGCAGGCAAGCACCACGGATGGCCGATGGGCGGTGCGGTTTTGGTGATATCGCTGGCCTTCATTGGTGGAAAGGCGTAAGAGGCGGTCCGAAGGACACCCCCTCCCCAGGTGTTGAGGAGTCTAGTTTACCAAAACGCTCAATGACACCATCAGAACTGCATCGTCATCCAGCTATCGGGAGATTCTGAGATCTTTGCCTCAATTAGCCATAAGGGGCAGCTGCTGTCAAGCGGTGACATAGACATTGAACAGTTTAAAAGGGTTATGTGGTGGTAATTACTAGATACAGCAAAGCTATACTCATTATCACGTCCAGATCAAGTAAACCACTAAGCAGTACCATCAACGAAACTATCCTATTTCATTTATGCTACATTGTCGTGATATGAATCACTGAAAGGGCCATCGATAGGAAATTGGCAACACCTTAGCTAAGTCCAGTTTGCATACACCAGTTTGGCTCCGCTCGCTACCGTATACATACCGCTATCATATACACATATCTATAAGGCATTCAATCTATACAATCGAAACTCAATCCGAAGAAAAGATGCTTTACCAAGAAGGATACATCTAATAGCGATAATGAATGATTCAAAAAAAAAACTGATTTTTACTCAATCGAACATGAAATTTATGACTCACAGTAGAAGTATAGATTCCCTGCATCCTGATTTAGCACATCAATCTGGGGATGCTTTTCCGTTGCTCTGTCTGAGAATGCGTACGAGCACATGTACATCCCTGAAGGTCTGCAAGTAATAAATTTTCACAAGTGTCTCACTCGTTGGGAACGTTCCCGGAACGTTAGGCCTATTGCCGACTTCTATTTACTCTCTTCCAGAAAGCAGTTCCACTAGTTATACTTTTACAAAGGAGAGCGCTTCCTAACAGGGTCAACCGTCCGTTCAAACAGTTCGAACGGGAGTCGCATTTGTGTGTCTGGGAAGGGAGGGGGGTCGCATTGGTCGCATTGCGCGCCTTGGTGATTAGTGGCGCAGGGCATAGGTGTGTGCGAAAAAAGTTGCTGTTTCACTGGTTGTATATACCCCCTCGCTCGACGGCTGTTTTGGCAGGAGAAGTGGGTGGAGTTTCGAAGTTCGGAGTTTTAGGTAGGTTTTGGGTTGTGTCAACTGGTCTCAGAATCTACTGTAAAAGAGGGAGAGGTCGCGGTGGAGGAAGGCTGGTGTATTGGGGGGTCGCAACTGTCCGTTGTGAGGGGTCGCAACTGGTCCCTTTCGAGAGGGGGGGGGTCGCAAAATTCCCGAAAATGTTCGAACGTGACTTGACCCTGCTTCCTAATAAGATTCTACTAGCACGACAGGTGCTTCAATGTACATAGGAGTAACATCCATAGAGCGTTGTTCCACACGAAATGGAATATGTATGGTGCTGAATGTGGATTGTCAATGTTTTTGAGAATTTTCATAGATGAACTCGCGAAAATTCATAATAGGGCCGATACAGTATGAGGAAAAAACCTTGTTTAAAATGAGTTCGAGTTTGAAGCAAAGTGACAAGCTGCCTTTCAATAAAAATTTCATTTCGTCTGATTTGAAACAATTTTGTGCGTACTAATGAACTACTCCCGGAAGCGGGAATTTCGCCGAGCTATGAGCGATTTTTTTCGACTTTGTTCTTTATAGATGCCATTCGTCACTCCTTGCGTTGTTCTAGCAAAATGCGAAAATTTAATGGAATATGTGAAAACGGTTCACCTTCCATAAAGGATGATAAGAGATTATCGTACCGAACAAAAATGATTGGAATATAATTGCGGTCAAAAGACTCCGCCGAAACGATTTATTCGTGCTTTGGTTCTCCTTACATTAAAAGAAAACGTAACGCATGAAAAACCGCTCCGGAGAACACTTGGAGCGCCACTGGACAGCCGTTCCACTGAAGAAATGACAGAGAGTCCATCTTTGAGTCTCCAAGTCATCTATGGATCCTCGAATGTCGCTTGTCGTAACCCCACCGCTGTTATATCGCTGCTAGCTCAAGGCACCACACTCATGTTCTTTTGTTATTTTTTTGTTGATTTTTTTGTCATGACATCGAGAAGATTTTCCCATTACTTTTGTCTATCCACAATTTACTTTTTATTTGGCAAAAGTGGTTTAAATTATTAATATTCTGAAATTTCCCCTTGCAAGAGTCGGGTCCAAATCACTCAGGAGGCGCTATCGCAAAATATGAGAGCATCCTCCAGAGCTAAGCCTACGAGGGGCACGGAGTAGGAAATTAAAATGGTTCACGCACCCTGGAGCCTTGCCCTAACGCCTAAGTCTTGTTCCTTTTGAACAAAAAAGAAGGTTTTTCCGTTTCCAACGCGGTTTCAAATGCATTGGTTTTACAATGCCACCATGCCATAGCGCCGTAAGAGAGGGGGAGGGAAGGTAGCATTCGGTGCAATAGTCAATGCCACTTACAGCAGGCTTAATTTTTGCAGGGAAGGAAGTTCCCGAGTATGTGAGCTTTCGCGGAACCTTGTGAACTTCGAACCTTGTGGACCCTTAGCTTTCTTTCCACACCCACCCCAAAGCGTACTCCCCTGCCAAAATCAGGACTACTGTAGGTGGCACGAAGTGTTTCATCAAATGCCTCCACCCCACAGGCCTCAATTGTTTTTATAATCAAATCAAAGCATACATAAATTGCATAGTGAAGCATGCCCAATGAAGGAAGAAATAATAAATAGTAACCTTGTTCTGCACGACATCCACAAACCGCTTTGTAACCATTGCTGCAGTTCTCTGGCATATACCACCTGAATATGTTTTCAAATCCAAAGGAGTGAGCAGGTCTTTACAAGCAAAATTTTGACGGATCATCAAAAAATCTTTGCTCACCTGCCAAGCAGGCGTCGCTAAAGCGAAGAACGTGGTAAACAATCCTAAAACAGCAAAGATCGCTGCAGGTATCTGCAGAAGTGTTTTCGTTGAAACCATTCACGATTAACGAATCTGAAAGAATACGGTATTGAGGAATTAGTGGCAAAGTAGTAAGTACCCAAAAACGATCGAGTCATTCACAGCAGATGCCAGCATCATTATGAGATTCTTCGATATGGATGAGATTTTATCTCTCTCGAATCCTACAATGTTCATTAAAAAATAGGTTAGGTTCAAATGAATCAGCTGATTGCGAACACTTCAACATCGGAGTCACTGTTACAGGAAAGTGTGAAACGTAAACATTTTCACAAACATGGGATTTCTAATTGTGCTGCGCAACAAACCAAACGATGTAAACGGAAGTATCCCCAATAAACATAAACAGTTAATGTGGTAAACAGCCATAAACAGCAAATATTTGAGAGTATTTGCAAGAATGTTTTGATAAAGCTATTCAAGAGTAACGATTTGGAAATAACACCTCATTAAGGAATTAGTAGCAAAGTATTGAGTAGTTATAGAACAAGAGCGAGCGATTAGCGCAGGTACTGGCCTCATTACGGGACCCTTTCTTCGGTTTGCATGCGATTTTATCTCGTAGATACTAAATTACGGAAGGAGGTCTCATGATGTTTGTCAAAAATAGGTTCAAATAATCAGCTGATCGTTACTTCGATTCAGGAATTAGATCAGCTGTCACAAAGAAAGCGTTAAACTCGGAATCCTATACAAACAGAATTTTTGCATTTTTTTTGCGCAACAAAATAGGTGATATGATTGGAAGCGTCTTCACTACTAAGCCGTGATCGTTCTATGAGAACTTACGTGTACTATAGTATAAACTTAGAGGGGAGCGCAACCGGCACAGGTGAATGGCATGATGTTGGTGGTCCAATCGATCGTCCTTGACGCCGTCCTCACATTATGTGACACAATCGAAAGGTAGATGTATACAGCGTTAGTTGGACACTGGTTGTCGTGGATATCGACTGACGACCAGAAACCTTAGTTCAGCTGTTTTTTAACCTTGAGGCGCTTTATGTTACTCCCTTTGTTTGTCGTAGTCTTAACCTGCAGGAAAACGAGAACCGAGCTCTTTGCCTTCCGACGGGTTCTCAATCCCTCTCTTTGCCTGCCTAGGAGACTTTAAATAGCTGCTTATAAGGCTAGATCGCCGCGCATGGTTTGTTTGCTTTTGAATCAACATATAATCTTCTCAACGTCATCATCTGAACGTTGTTGAAGCGCTCCATCCTACAGCCGAGTGGCTGCTTAGAAAATAGCTCTTATTATCACAGCTTCTGCAGTGACTTAAGATCCTAATCTCAGGCGCACTATGAATAGGAATCTAATGTTTCTCATGTTTACTGATTGAGCTCAACGAAATCCACCCTTCCAGAACTGCTCAGGAGTTACGAACAAAATCCTTAAGAGCACTCTTGATTGGATTGGTTTTTTTGGCTAACTCTCGGTAAATCGACAGGATCTTCCTGAACTTCCAGTGCCGCTAGTTTGAATGAAGCGAATTTTCAGGTGAAAAGTCGCACAGATCATTTAAAGAATAAAAAAGGCTTCAACTTCAGCTCCGAAGAATTCCGCGAGGAAGGGATTGCGAAAAGAAAGCATCGGTGATAAGAAGTGTAGATTTTGCTTTGCTTTGTAGAAAATAGCGTGTTGGGTGTAAGATTATAGGATATTGAAAATGTTTCGTAATTTCCATGAATATTATGGAAGTATTGCAGCATTATGAATTGGATTTTTTCCTTTGAACTATGAATAATATCGGATTTCATTCTCAGTCCAATCGATACCCTGCAGGACATACTCGTCGAAAAAGTTAAAAGTCCAGCGAATGAGCAGGGAAATATGAAGCTGCAATCGCAAAAATACTGAACGAATTCTCAAAAGGCAAAGAATGCGATGGCTGAGAGAAGGAGGGGTTTTAAAGAGGTCAACGGGAGTCATTGGTGAGAGAGCATCGTAAGCTTTCCTTACCATACTTCCCAATGCACTTCCACCAATGACGGCCAACGTCGTCAGAAGAATCGCCCCGCCCCTCACTCATAAAATACATTGCTTTTAAATGAAGGGATTTCCCTTACCAGGAACGATTTTCCTTTTTGAAAAAATGAAGTTCGTTTATCACATGCTCTAAGCCTCAATCAATTCCAATCGCGATCTGACACCGTCTCGTTCCTCATGGTTTCCCGACAGTTCCTTCTAGAACATCGATCATATTCACCGGTCATGTGGGCTGGTGCAGTGTGCTAACAAATCTACAAACGGCAGAGGCCTAGCCTGAACGATTCACGAGTTCTGACAGCTAAAGCGTCTTCCATGTTCGACCTTTCAAAGTTGATTGTGAGCATGAGATAGGTTTTTCGTTGAGAACCGGCACCCGACAATCCAGGGTCAATGATGAAGACAAACGCCGGCAGCTTGTTGGCCGCTTTCGAATTCAATGCAAACACCAAGTTTGCTTTTATCTGAGGACACCCAACGCCAACGTCGGAAATTCATTAAGAAAACAGAAACCCTCTTCAGAAAACTTTTTCAGCTTTAAGGCCGATGTGCTGATGCATCTGCTTGTTTGTATCAGTGCAAATGCGATTGCAGCCGCATTTCTCGCTGGCACAAGTCAGCAAGAAATGCAAGCTAGTGCAGATAACTCGTCCAATACGCCCCTTTCCTCATTTCAAAGGGGAACGGGAGAAGCCCCATTTAAAGGCTTCGCCGGCGTTTTTCTTCGCTTTTTCTATTAGCAGTCGACTTGCCATCCACAACTTTATTATCGACTATTTTCACCGCTCGAATTCAATCTGGAATTGTTACTTGAAGCATTAGG